CCCTTTGCCTCCCAGCTCTTTCCTCTATTTCCCTTGATTCACCTCCTGTCCCACTATCATGCTCAGTCCCCACCAGGATTTCAGCACTTCCTCTTTGTTACGTTGGTGGAGGGTTTCTTAATCTTGATTCTCTTCCCTTATATCTAGCTTCTCCCTCTTTCATGGAAATTAATAATTCTATTTTGCTCACTTTCCACGCTACAGTTTTGCCCCCACCCTTTCACTTTTTGTTATATTCATTTGATTTATTTTGAATTTTCTTTTGGATTCCTGCTTACAACTATATGTTAAATAGCATGAATATAGAAATGTTTAAATGGTTTGTTGGTTTGCAGGACTACAACTTCTTATTCTTTCTGCCTTTTGCACTTAAGGTGCATTTTACTTTATCGATAAATACTTACCTGGTTTAATTTATATGCGTCACTGAAAAACAACACCTGCTACCCATCTTTTAGATGGTATTATACTGCAAAACCTCAGGGGCCCAATTATCTGGGACAAACACAAAAATGCATGTGCTAAAATTATCCTATACAAAATCTGTTTTGAATGAACTTTACATGTTAAGTTTGAAACAATGATTTTTTAAAAATTATTTTATTACCGTTTTATAAACTCTTAGAACTAGGTATAAATAGTTTTTATACCTGAATCCTTCTGGAGAGAGGGAATCTATCAGTACTCTCCATGGTAAGCTACCATTTTTTTCTTTCCTATCCAAGAATGTTTAATTTTTGTGTAACATAAACATAATAACCTGTAGTCCCCTATCTAGACTTAATTAATTTAACCATGGCCTGCACACTACTACTGAATCAATTCTGACCCTTAGCAATGCACGTAGGATTCCCAGGGCTCATGTCGACATCTTTCTCATAGGGACTGGTGGTGGTGAGCTAGCAGTCCAATGCTTTTTCAGTAGCACCATCAGGGAAAACTTTTCAAAAGAATTATAAGCATGAAATTAAAAATAATCGCTGACTTTAGTATACCTTCTTGAGCTCTAGCAGTGTGCCAGACATTGTTGGGTGTTTGTGTATAAAACTTTCATCCTTCCAATAATTTTATCTCCATTTTGCAAATGAGGAAACAGATTCTAAGAGCCTTACCTAGGCAAGGTCACAGAGTTGACATTTGAGCACCAAGTCTGATTCCGTGCTCATTCCAAGTACAGGTTTGGATTGAGGCTTTACCACTTACTTTGTGACGTCTCCATGCTTACATTTATTTCCTTGTCCATCAAGCCTTCTGACCTTCTAGGGTGGAGTCTGATTCCTAACGGACCTATAGGTCCCAGTCGAATTGCCCATGGGGTTTCCAGATTGCCCATCTTTAAAGCAGACTGTCACCTCTTCCACAGAACGGCTGGTAGATCCTGAATTTAACCACTGCATCACTAGGACAGTCTTATTTGTTAAAATGTGAATAATATAAATAAATGAAATAAAATGTGAATAATAATTATACTTATAGAAAGATTGAAGTTAATTAGTATGAAGTTCTTTGAACACTGTCCAGCCGATGCATAGTTGTTATGCACCACTCCACCTTCCCAAAATTTATATTCCAGCATGTCCTATATAGTTACATTGGGGTTCAACAGGCAAAAGTTTGACTTTTAAGGAAAAGTGAAGGTTTACTCCTTAAAAATGGTAGCTTACATTCCACATTTTTTGTCATACTCATCAATACACATTGCTGAATGACCATTTCTGCAGTTAAGTGAAGTTAGAAATGGGAATTTAAAAAATATTATTATATGTTCATGTACCTAGTGCTGGTGTTAATGTCTAGTATGTAAATTAGTCATTTTATTTATTTTTTTCAATATCAATAGTTTAGTTTAATTTTTTAAAATCATTTTATTAGGGGCTCATACAACTCATCACAAATTAGTAATTTTTGCAGTATACATGTTGTTTTCCAACTGCATTTTTATTACTTTTAACACTTTTTCATATAATTAGCTGTTTGCAAATTTAAAGTTAAAGAGTTTAAAATAATAACAATATCCTATTAGTTTCTGTGCAAGCCTAGGCAACTTTAGACTTTACTAACCAAATAAATGTAGAAAAATTAATATTCATAAATGTATTATGTCATTAATTGGAAATGCTTACTATTTAATTGACCAATTTCATGAGAAAGTGTTTGCAAATACACATTTAAAAAGTAGAAAATGACATTTTTACAGTGTTACTAAGAAGAAATATATATAAATGTGTAGTCATACAAGAATTACTTTTTGTAGTGGGTGAAGGGAGACATCAGACAGTGTAAAACATGCCAAAATAATAATAATTTATAAATTATGAAGGGTTCATGGTGGAGGGGGAGCGAGGGGAAAAAATGAGGACCTGATACCGAGGGCTCAAGTAGAAAGCAATTGTTTTGAGATGGATGATGGCAGCAAATATGCTTGACACAATGGATGGATGTATGGATTGTGATAAAAGAGTTGTACGAGCCCCCAATAAAATGATTTTTAAAATTACTTTTTGTATTTAATCAATAAATATTTGTATTTAATAATTTTGCATGTAGAAGATCAGTTGCCATTATCTATCTTTGTATGCCAATTTTAGTGATTGTTGTTATATTCTTACTTTTCTTAAAGAATTTGGGTAATTTTAATCTTTATACTACCATCCTAGATTTTTCATATTCACCTACTCTAGTGAATGAGAAACTGTCAAGGTTTCTAAGTTTTCAGTCTTCTTGATCATGCAATTTATTGAATATTTATTTAAAAGATATTACATTGAGTGCTATATATTCTGTAAGCAATGTCATATAATGTATTAAGTATTAAAAGGATTTAAGTGCTTTATACTTTTTTCCTTTTTTTTTCGTAACTTAAATGGGTATTACAAATTCTCTATCCCTATCACTAGACTTATTTTATAGAACATAGACATTTTGGTGTAGAGATTTAAGTATATTTGACAAAAGTCCTATAGTAGTTAAGTAGAAACTGGCATTTGAAGTTTTGTGTAATGTAAATGCTAATTAAAATTCATTGGCAAATTAAAAAAATAGTGGCTTAGTGATTGGGGAAATTTTTCGGTCATTAAACAGACTTACTCTTTTCCTATATTGTGTTCTTATTTTATGGCAGTATGTTGTCATAGATGGACAGACGGGAAGAGAGACCAATAACTATAGGAGTTGCTGGGTGGTGCACATGACTAAGTTCAAATATTCCCAGAGGTACCTCCGAAAAGGTCCTGACATCTGCTTCTGAAAGACCGAGCATCGAAACCCGTGTGAAGGTTTATTCTGTAGCCCCTGTGCTTGCTGTCAGTTGGAGTCAGCTCACTGCTTATGGGTATAGGCATGCACCCTTGGTACAGAAGTGGACATACACTCATGTCTAGTCCTATATTCTGTGTTTCAAAGACCGAGAGGCAGGTGTCAAGTAGCAGACTTTCTCTAACGGGGGTAGGAGGAGAGAAAGGAAGACTGGATGACGACTGGGAGTTTGTTTCTTCCACCAGCTGTGGGGGTGCTCTTCCTCAGCTTTATGCTCTGGGGTGAGATGGTCAGTTTCAACTTCTATAGCCCAACATTCCTTGTTCCTTTGGCATTCTTCACACGTTACAAGGTCATGTAAAACAGTATCGCCATAAAATAATAAAAACCTTGATTAAAAATCAAAATGAAAATACTGTGTCTCAACACATTCTCCATCTAGAGCTATAAACTTTGGAAGGCAGTATTTCCATCTCTCCAACCCTTCCCCAAAGAATCCCATGTTCTTCAGTTACACCACATTAAATGGCAGTTTGGGGTCCTCCAGTGCGCCTCTTCAATGTTCTTTGGGTACGAGGAACAAGAAATTCTTTTCAGACAGCCCTTGCTACCCTGAGCAGGTGCATTGTCATGATGGAAAGCAACTCCTGGTTGCAACTGTCTCACAGTGCAGTTTTGAATTTTCTGAAAACTTCTGTGTAAGCCCCTACAATCATCCAGTGTCCTTTGAGAAAATGTATCCATGCACCTTATTGGGATCCACGTAACATCCTGAGCTGGTAACTCTGCCTCAATTTACCCAGCAGATCCCTTGGAAGCCCCTGTTACGATTGGACTTAATCTCTAGAGTAAATCTAAAATGAATGCATCCATGGTTATGATTAATCCCATAAAATTATTTTCATTGGCTTCAATCTTGATGAAAAGACGGAGATCGTGCAGTATAGCACGGATGAAACATACAACTTTCCTCAAGTTCTTTAATGCTTCCACCCACCCCACCCCACTATCATGATCCGAATTCTACCTTACAAATCCAGCTAGACCAGAGGATGTACTCTGGTACAGATAAGAGCTGGAAATAGGGAATCCAGGATTGATAAGCCCCTTAGGGCCAATAATGAGAGTAGTGATACCAGGAGGGTAAGGGGAAGGTGGGGGAGAAAGGGGAAACTAATAATGATCTACATAAAACTGCCTCCCTAGGGGACGGACAACAGGAAACTGGGTGAAGGGAGACATTGGACAGTGTAAGATATGAAAAATTACAATCTATAAATTATCAAGAGTTCGTGAGGGAAAAGGGGGAGAAAATGAGCTGATACCAAGGACTCAAGTAGAAAGAAAATGTTTTGAGAATGATGATGGCAACAAATGTACAAACGTGCTTGACACACAGATGTATGTGTGGATTTTGATAAGAGTTGTATGAGCCCCCCCAGTGAAATTTTTTTTTTTTTTAAAGACTGAGCTCATCGGCTCTTTGGGCTAGCTAATCACGCAACTACTTTTGGCATCCATCAAGCTGAAGCTTCCTGAGTCCGGGATGTTTGCTTAAAAAATGGAAAATGTTGAACTCTGTGAGCTCTCTACTTCAGTACCTATTGCATTACTGGATGACCCCACTGTCTTCTTCCAGTTTCTGGAATTCAGCCACAGATACATTGAGGCAGACAGCCTTCCTGCTCTTGGTTTATCCAGCTACAAACTGTTTTATATGGGGCAGAATTTCCATAAACTTCCAATCCTTCAGCAATTTGGGGAGATTTCTATTTGAGTTTTGTTTAAAATTTGATATTAGTCTTGAACTCAAATGTATCTGTTAGACTTTCTCTAACTGCATTTACGTACATTCAGCAATTAACTTTCTTATCCATTGTACAAGCTTTTCTTCTATAGATTAAAAACTCCTAATATTAACATTTTTATTTTAGAACTTCTTGCAACAATGAAACCTGATGAAACTCCTATGTTTGACCCCAATCTACTGAAAGAAGTGGACTGGAGCCAGAATACAGCTACATTTTCTCCAGCCATTTCGCCAGCATATCCTGGAGAAGGCTTGGTTTTAAGGCCTCTTTGTACTGCTGACTTAAACAGAGGTATGGATTCATTCAGTTTACAAATCCTGGCCAGCCTTCTGTTTTCCCCACAATTTTTTTTAATTGACTCAAAGTATTTTTTGCACTTTTAAAGTGATGATAGACCATCATAGCTAAGATCAAATAATATTTTGAAATAATTCAAATGATTTAAGTATAACATTCTTACTGCTTAAGAAGTCAAAAAGATTTCTCATAAAGGAGAATTACAGTCAATGACACATAAGGAAAAATCTTTTCTAAGAAGCTGACGGAGAAAGTAGAGATAACTTCAAAGGACTTATCTACACATATTTAATATTTTAACATCCAGTCTCTAAAGTAATTTTTTCCCCTCAAAATTTATCTTCTAATTTTCCTCGTTTTCTTTTTGGTAGGAGACCTAAGAAATTGATTTTGGTCAAATTCATTATTGAGTATATAGGAGTTGATTCTCAGAATTCTAAAGTGTGCTGTCTAAATATAACATTAATGAAACAGGGATCTTTAAAAGCTGTAGTCAACATTACATTCATAAACTAGTTAAAGAACTCCATCATTGTGGTCCCAGTGAAAATCACGGATGTGGAAGACTTAGAACAAGTTACCATGGAGGCCACCCTAACTCATGGTGACTTCCTATGTGTCAGTACAATTACACGCTGTAGGACTCTTAGGACTGACTTTCCAGAAGTAGGTCTTTTCGTATCAAGTACCAACGGGTGGACATGAATCACCAACTTTTTTTTTTTGGTTAGCAGGTTAGCACCTGTTTGTACCACCCAGGGACCCTGGCTGAGTATTAAAGTCAGGACTATTCCAAGCATCTTATACAAGCAAAGCACTGTTGTTTTGTGTTACATACAGTTGGATTACAAAAAGAAAAAATAAGTTTCAGTTTAGTCTACTTTGATAATTTCTTACAGATAATGTCCATTATCCTGCCATTTTAATGATACTTTTGGTATAATACCCTTCCCCATTGCTCTTCTCATCATTTGAAATATGTTTTATAAAACCAGGTTTTCTTAAGGTACTGGGTCAGCTGACAGAGACTGGAGTTGTCAACCCTGAGCAATTTATGAGTAAGTACTATAGCCTATTTTTCCTCAGTGAAATGGGGAAACAAAATTTTATTTCTGGAAGTTAAATAAATGACAGATTAACTATTTTCTTTTTTATTCAAATAATCGATATGGATGAAATATTCTGGAATCCAAATGTAGAAATAACCATGTTCTATAAAATAATCTTAGTCATTTTAGATAATCTACTAGCAGATAGGCCCTAGTTGGTAGCTCTAGAGATTTTGGTTTTTTTTAATGATAGTATTTTCTTTTATAGTTAGGTTATTTAGAATTTTCATTACCAAGTCAAAATTTAAATGTTAAGACTATATTCTAAATTTCTTGGTTCATTGCTACAGAATTGTTAGGTTGGTATGTATTCAAACCAAAACCAAACTCGGCCGAGTCAGTTCTCACTCCTAGTGACCTTACATGACAGAGTAGAAAGCTTCCTCTTTCTCCCATCAGTGCTGGTGGTTTCAAACTGCTGACCTTGTAGATAGCAACCCCTCTCTTAACCCACAATGCTACTAAGCATGTAGGTATAACATTTAGGTCAATCCTTTCTCTCTCTGTGAGCAAATGAAAATCTGGACAGGTCAAACCCACTGATCCACAAGCACAGTAAGGAACGATTTAAAGGCTCATTGCTCCGTTAGGCAGTGTCCTTTGTTTGATACTGCCTTTGCTGGTCTTCTACACATCATTCAGTACACAGTTCTGTACTCTGACCTTCCTCATGGGTAACACCCATCATTTTCATGGTTTGTTTGCGCTCACGTCACTGGTTCCTCCTCCCATTCCAGACTCCTGTCTACTGTGTGAGATCAGATCGTATTAAGCTGTGTTAATTCCTCAATTCCTCTTTGCATGCATACTGGATAACTTAAGAAAAACCATGTTACTTTAGCAATGTAAATACTAAATGTAAGGAGAAATTTATTCCATTCCTTGCTCCCATTTGTTTTATGTATGACCTTGGGAAAAATGCTTGGGAATGGAAGTATATTTCACTTACAACTTTCAAAGCAAACAATAACCATGAGTATACTTTTAAGGAACTGTCTAATGCTGCTGTAACAGAAATACCACTGGTGGGTGGCTTTAATATGTAGAAACGTATTTTCTCAGTTTACGAAGCTGGATGGCTAAATTCAGAGCGCCAGCTCTAGTGGACCACTTTCTGCAGCCTCTGGAGAAAGGTGCTTTTGAGCCAGCCACCGTCTTGTGATTTAGCATCTCTCTTCTCTATCTCTGCCCTGATCCCTTGTTTAAACCCTTATATCCCAAGAGATTGACTCAAGATATATCCTTCCTCAATAACATAACAAAATCCATTCCTAAGTGAAATAATAACTAATGGGATAGAGTGAAATAATTGCACTCACAAAGAGAGATTAAGTTTTGTCAAAATATTTTGAAAGAGAGATGAAAAAGTATAGAATACAACCATGTAAACAAACATGCTCGTGTTGAAAAAATTTGCAGTTTTATTCTAATCAAATGCCTGTTCAGTATGAAGATTAAGAAAACCATTTTAAAGTAAATAAGTAATGAAAATCCTCAAAAACAAAATTCTCGTTTTAATGCTTTGGTCACAAAAGTGATACCACCTATATAATCTATAAATACTGTTCACTTACTTTGTTTTTCTGATTTTTAAAAATGCATGGACAATTCCAGTTGATGCTAATTGCTGATGCTTCAGCTGTTTGATTTTTTTAATTATTTAATTTTTTAAAAAGATCATTTTATTGGGGGCTCTTACAACCCATACATCAATTGTATCAAGCATATTTGTACATATGTTGCCATCATTTTCTAAACATTTACTATTTGAGCCCTTTGGCATCAGTTTTTTCCCTCATGCCCCCCCCCCCTTCCCCCTGGAATAAATTATTTTCATACTTACACCGACTGCTGTTTCCCTTCCCCATTTCTATTGCTCCTCCCTGGGGTGGTGGTGGTTACGTAGATCATTGTGATTGGTTCTCCCTTCCTTCTACCCTCCCAAAGGGTTTATCGGCCTGGATTCTGTGTGTTGTGAGCTCTTAGCTGTACCATTGTATAGCTTCGGCCTACCCTGAAAGGCAGGACTGGGATTATGAGGGTGGGGGGTGAAGAAGCCTCAAGGAACCAGAGGAATATTGTGTTTCATCGGAGCTATACTGTGCCCTGGTTGACTCATCCCTTCCTTGTGACCCTTCTGTGAGATGTCCCATTGTCTACAGATGGGGTGTGGGTCTCTGCTCCGACACCCACCCCCTCCCCACCCCCGTTCTCAACAAAATTTTTTTTTTTGTTTTGGGTCTTGTGATGCCTGTTACATGTGTCCCGTGGACACCTCATGATTGCACAGGCTCGTGTGCTGCTTCCGTGTGGGCTTGCTTCTCTGATAGTTGGCTGCTTGTTTACCTTCAAGTCTTTAAGACCCCAGACACTATTTTCTTTTGATAGCCAGGCACCATCAGCTGTCTTCACCACATTTGCTTATGTGCCCGTTTTTGTCCTCAAGGATCATGCTGGGAGGGTGAGCATCACAGAATGCCAGGTTGTTAGAACAAACTTCTTGCATTGAGGGAGGGCTTGAGCAGAGGCCCAAAGAGTCCGTGTATTGCTGTATATGTACATAGGCCAGTACCTCTTATTTTTATGAAGTAACATATTTACATATGTTTACACACCTATGTTTATACCACTATTCATAGCTTTTCTTCCTAGATTATTCTGTTTCCTTTTACCTTCCTCTTATCCCGCCATCATGTTTGCCCTTCTGTCTCTTAGTAATTCCTCTCAACTAGATTGCTGTTACTCCAACACCCCCAGGATCTCTACATGCTCAGTAATTAGAAAAAGAACACAAATTACTTTGGTAAAATACCTTTAAATATTATAAAAAGTCAAAAAGTATATACCAGAATAACAATTTGTTTTCCCATACCCACAGAATCTTTTGAGCACATGAAGAAATCTGGAGATTATTACGTTACAGTAGTGGAAGATGTGGCTCTTGGACGGATTGTTGCTACAGCAACTCTGATAGTAGAGCATAAATTCATTCATTCCTGTGCCAAGGTACATATTAATGATTATGAGTCCAAAGGATGGGTACTCACAGCAAAATTGACCTTGAGTTGCCATTAGATAATCCAGTTTTCTCACCACCTTTCACCATACTATTAGAGATATGCTAAATTGAAAGTCAGGAGCCATTTTCCTAGTGTGAACTGAGAGCTGAGGGAAAAATAAGAGTACGAATTGTTTGCTAAAAATGTTTTAGGTTTAGTGTAAAAATAACTGTGTGCAACAAATATGGTAAGTCAAAAGTATTGTTACAAAACCATAGAACTCATGGGTCAACAAATTATAAAAAGTTATTCTTTACACTTTTGGAGGCAGAGAAATGTTATTTTAGTAGATGTATTGATGTACTTTTGTCCGATTTTATACAATGTTGTAATAAACATTTGTTCATGAAGCCTTAAAAATAAAATGCCCGTGTGCTGCTGAGTCAATTCCAATTTAGTGACCCTGTAGACAGAGTGACACTAAGTCTTTCTGGAAGCAGACTGTCACCTTTCCTCCATGTAGTGGACAGTGGGTTCAGGAGCAGCTGGTGAGTTGGAACTACCAACTTTTATACTAGCAGCAACACTTGACCACTGCAGCACTTGAGGGCTTCTTAGATTTGGTAAAGTACTAGAGAAATCAAGCTTTTATGTAATTTGACAGTAATGTTTAGAACCTTGAATATAGGCCCGACAGCTACTTTTTCTCAACATGCCGTAGATATACATTGGTAAAGATTTCCATCCACTTCCAAGTGTTAGAGGGTTTGTTTGGAATACGATATTCTCCTGTAATTGTGACATTTCTCATGCTTATAAACTTTCATCCCTGCTGGCTGAACTCACATGAAATACATGGTGAAGAAAACCTAGGTAAATGCAATGATTGAGTATTAAGATAAAAACACTTAGAATCTATTCTCTGACCTTCTGAATTTTGGTGGGTTTTCTGTATTTAAAATAAATCATATGGAGCAGGTTGATGGGATAAGATTACATTTTGGTAACATGGACTCAGATTTGCTTTAAAACAATGTGGAAAGGGAGATTAGGTGTACAGACAAGATTTGCATTTTGTCTTTGTGCCTCTCAGGCATACAAACCATACATTTTACCAATGAGTTCGTATCAACTGCAACTGTCACTTAATGTAGCCTGCAACAGAGCTAGTTCCCTGAACACTGTCATATTCTCAGAGAGGAAGAGTGGAAGACGTGGTCGTCAGTGATGAATGCAGAGGAAAGCAGCTGGGCAAACTGTAAGTCGGCAGAGACAAGGTGACCAGAGATCAACCAGATAATTATATTTCAGATATAGTTCCTTACCTGGATACTCAATACTTTCAAGGAATTCACTCAATGATAAATTTTAAGCATCAGCTACTATGTGCCAGGCACTATTTTATTTGGGATAAATCAGTGAACAAAACAGACTACTTCCTACTAGTCTAGCCCAGTCTTACCTTTTATAAATTTATAACTTCCATTAAAATCTATTTTTCAAATGTGATTTTTGTCTGTAGAAAAAAAGGAAAACCTCTCCCTCCTGTTCAGGCAAAATTTCATCCATTCCCCCTTTGGCCCTCCTCAAAGCATGGAGTTACCATTAAGTGGAATCAGAAAGGTTTGGTTTTCTGGTTGAAGACCATTAAAATCTCATTCTTTGTGGCTCGCAGCTCACTCAGTAGCCCACTACACCACCAGGGCACCACTAAAAATCACATCAGTAGACTGCGTTTGGTTCAAGGATTTGTGAGGGAAATGGGGTTTTTCGGTTTTATTTTACTTGGTGTTAATTAGACCAATTCAGAGTATATTTGTTACAAACTCCCACAAATACTACATTTTAAATGATTAAATAAAAAAGCTATTATATACTCATTTTATATGGGAGTACAAATTCCTAAGTAGTTTGATTAGATTTATAAGAGGGGGAGGGTGTCTTTACAAAATAATTTACCCATGCTTTTTTAAAAGGTTGACAGTTTAAGTGTTAAAATTAATTTCAAAAACATTTTTAAAGAGAATTTAGGGGTTAGTATTTGCCCTATTTAATAATTAGATTAAAATTCATTTTTACTAACAATGCTCTATTCTTATCCTCCTATCCCCTACTCTGCCCCCTTTTCAAATTTTAGGTTATTATCAACCCTTACTTTGCTAAGCAAGAACCTGAACTGTTACAAGATTACTCTTGAATGTCTGCCACAAAATGTTGGTTTCTATAAAAAGTTTGGATATACAGTATCTGAAGAAAACTACATGTGTCGGAGATTTCTAAAATAAAAATATTTTAAGAAGACATCGCCAAAGAAGCTAATGCAACAAGGCTACGTGTTATACTCTTTTCTTGCTACAACTCAGTGACCTCTAAAAATATGGGACTGAAAAAACTGAGTGTAATGCAAATATGGCAGAAAATTATGGGGGTTGGTGGTATGGTTTTTAACCAAAGGAATATATTTTTAACTTGAACTTTTTCTTGCATTGTATTTTTCTAAAGTTTGGCTTCATTTCTTGGTACTCATAAGGTAATAAGGAGTTAAAGGTTTGCTCTCTGTACTGTTCATTAAAAAATAGGTACGCTGGTAAAAGCTGTGCGAGCCCCCAATAAAATGATTTTTTTTAAAGGTATGTTGAAAGGTGTTTATCAAATTTGAAAATTACTATAAAATACATATATATATATATATCGTATAAACTCAAGTATTAGCCAACCCGAATATCAGCCAACGCACCTAATTTTACCACAAAAACGGCATTAAAAATGTGCTGGAAATACTTGGCTCATACACGAGTATATATGGTATTCAAATACGAGTTAGGTATGTATCATTTCCCAAATACTAATTACATGTATCAGATAAGTTAGATATGATAATTAAATGTACATTTCCAACATTTTTCTTAATACCTGCAAACAATATGGTCAGGTTAAAGGAGTAGACATGAAAGTTAACTTATAAAATGTGACAAAATTTAAAGTAAAACTATTTGAATGTATAGCTAAGCATTACGTACTGAAAAGCAAATACAATGGACTAAGAATACTATATAACAGAATTAGCAAAACTTGGTATATATTTATTTTCTTCCAATGGTTATTTGCAACCTCACCTGAAGTAACATTTTTTTAATGAAAAAATGGAGTGTTACAAAATTGAGTTAAATGTATCAACAGCATCTGTTATATTTTTTGAGTGTTGGAAGCTTTTTTTCATGTGACTGATTATAAATGGTACTGATCCTGGTTACTGCCCCATTTCAGCTTTTTTAGGTTGAAGTACTTTTATTATTGGTTCTAATTTGCATTCCATATTACATTAAATCTGTTGCTATGATTTTGTTAGAATCCAGTGTGGTGTGTACTTTTTTACTCAGGTCAGGCTTGATTAAATTTTAGTTTTATATACTTTGTAAGGAGTCCTGTTGATTCAGTGGGATAAGTGTTGGGCTGGCAGTTTGAATTCACTAGCCATTCTGGGGAAGAAAGAACACACCCTGCTTCGGTGAAGACTAGCAGCCTCGGGAACCCCAAGGCGCTCTATACTATGCCTTACAGGGTCACGATCATATGAAATCAAATTGACTTGATGGCAGCAATATATTTTATATCAGACTTCAAAAAATTGGTGGGAAAAAATTCCATCATCTTTTAATTCATTTTTCCCATGACGTTTTTGAAGCCCTTTTCACATACACTGTTAAACTTTACGTGGAATAAAAACCAGCTGCTTACCTACCTCAGCTGGATTTTGGATTTTCCTCCATGCAGTCACCTAAAGCTAACTTTCCTATATATAAACCCTATACCAACGGCAGGTGTACTAACTACTTCTCTGCTTCCAGAGGTTTCATTTTGTGAAAAGAGCCCTGATGACATTGTGTCAGTAAACAATGGACTGCTAACGCCAAGGCCCATGGTTCAAACCTACCAGCATCTAAAGGGAAGAAAGATGAGGCTATCTGTTCCAGTCAGGATTCGGGGCTATAGTGTGAACTCACTGTCCATCAAATAGATTCTCACTCATAGCCACCCTATAGCACAGAGCAGAACTGTCTCTATAGGTTTCCTAGGCTATAAATCTTCATGGGAGCAGAAAGCCTTATCTTTTTTCCTCGGAGCAGCCTATACTCGCCACATTTTGGAGCACTGCGTGTTTTTGACAAGGTACAAGTGACACTCGTAATTTCTACTATACCCCCAACTACTTTATACAATTGTATTTTACTCATACTTAAGGGGCACTTTTTGACACTTCTGAAATTGGGATGTATTTTATGATCACTGGCTTGTCATAGGTTAGCTAACTCTATTTTCCCTTCTAGTTGTATCTAAAGTAATGGAATAGTTGTGACTGCCAACTTAATCTGAAGAAAAACAGAACCCAGGCAAAGTACTGTTAAGAGCAAGAAATCGTTTTTTAAATAGGTGGAAGCCATTCTATGGATGCCTTCCTTACCCTTTTAGATCCAGTTCCCTCATGTCTAATCCCAAACTTGATCAACAAACCATTTAAAATATATGTAAAGTAGAACTTTTAATTTGCATGAACTACCGACCACGTGTGCATGTAATGATTTGGAGGATACTCTTAAGGGGTTCTCAATATCCAATGTTCATCCATTCTTCTGAATCCATGAGTATAACATTGGATTACTTGAACCCAGAAGTTAACAATCTAAGTAAAGAAATTCTGAGGCATAAGCAATATAAATGAACTTTTCAGTCCTTTTGAGGTATAATGGCACAACAGTTTAATACAACCACCAATCTTCACAAAATAATTTTAATACTTTGTGCCAGGGCTAGCAGCATTTTGCACCGTGACATTCCTATACACACATTAAGCATTATATCCAAATACAAATATTTGCTAATAGGAAATTAAGAAGGAGTTGCCTATACAAAGGTAAAGAGACACTATTGGTTTTTTTTCTTGAATCATTTTTGCTGCATAGTAAATTGCAATTACATGTCAGTATAATGTTACTGATCTATAGAATACACTTTGAACTGTGAGGTATGACAACTCCCTATGAAGGGAGCTAACATGTAAACCTGAATATACTGAATTTTTTTTTTTTCCTTTTTAGCTGCCATGGATGGGTAAGACAAAAATCCAGCATTCCAAGACCCTAGAAACTTCCAATTTCTAATAAATTAGCTAATAAAAACTTTGAATAATCCTCAGATACTTCCTATCATTTCCTTATTGGAGCACTGTTGAATACAATGATAAAGTACATACCGAAATGAAACATTTGTTATGGAATTATGAATTGTTATGTTATGGGTTAAATCATTAAAAAGAAAGTCCGTCAGGTAACTGCTCATTTACTTTACATCAAGTTGAGATCCTGGTATATACATCTCAACCCTATAATTCAAGATTGCAGTTCAATATTTCTAATTCACTTGAATTACCATGGTAATAAGACAATTAGAAATCTTATATTTTCTTTAAAAGGGCATGCTTAACATTTTCTGATTACTCAGAGGAGGTACAAAATCCCCCCGCAAAACTAACTAATCTGCTCTAAAAGTGGTTGAGAGTTGTTTAACAAATGCTATGTCATGGTTTATTTTTTCCACTATAGAGCAGATATCAATAAACAAAAGTAACGGCTATCTAAACATCGAGTATAAGAAATGAACATGAACCAATTAACAAATTAGAATACTGCTATTAGAGTATTAATATTTAAGTTATTCATACCTTCAAAAAACAATCGTTTTCCTATTTTTTGATAGTTTCACTTTAAATTGTCTCCAAATTACATACATTATTCAAACACTCTAGAAATAAATCATGATCAGCTAAATTTATCTTAGTTAACTAGCACAAAACAGTAGTAGAAATAAAGGAACCACAGAAATGAAACCAAATACAAGAGCAGTAAGAGCTACTAGAAGAACTACTTAAAACAGTAGGTGGAAGAATGGAATCAAAACAAAAAAACACTGGCAATATTTTGTATGACACAGACTAAATCCCTGTAATAGCCACATGAAGGAGCCCTGGAGCAGAGGCTGCTAACTGTTGGACTGCTGACCTCAAGGTCTCGTTCTCATCCACCAGGAGCTCTAGGAGAGAAAGATGAGGTTCCCATAAAGATTTATTTAGGGTTTCAGGTCTACTCTGTCCTATAGAGTTGCTATAATTTGGAGTCAATTCAATGGCAGTGGGTTGGACATGCCCACAACACTGTAACCAAGATAACACCAATCTCTTTTCCTAGTATTTGTGAGAAACTGCCCCTAACATACAGTGCTGGGCAGGCACTTTAGTTACAGCATAAAAATTATAGTGGGTAGAAAATGTGGAGACTTGCCAGCTAGAAATTAATATCAATAACCAAAATCTGTACTTTTGGTCAGACTACTAGAGAAGATAGATATGTGGATTTAAGAAACATTAAAACAACAAAAACTACCTCATTTTTAAAACTTAAATTTACTATTATTAAGTTCTCTTAAGCAGAAAGTTTGTAAAATGAAATGTCAGATTCTTAGCTTGTATGACAGATCTTTGCTAACTTAGTCACAATAGTTACCTAAATTCAGCACAGCTGTGTCATCTGGCACTTTACCAACTGGTATTTCTGAACACCCAATGTAAATCTTCACCCCACTAGACTACACCAAACGAATTAATACATAACAGAATACTGGACCACTATATGATCCACACTAAGTAATCTTAATTAACAAAGCATTTCAATTCATCTCTACTCTCCACTGCTGGATAAAAAGCTTTTGCTGTATTCCTACATCACAAGGAGGAAAGTAAAGCAAGGAACTTGGTGTTAATAGGTTACCTTGCATAGTACCTCTTGGTACCAAGAGAACCTATGGAAACCATTCCCATTAAGAAAGCACCTCAGCGAGAACCGATAAAAGATACAAAGGAGTTTTGTTTGTGCTACCTAAAGTCATCAACTACAAAAAGTTAAAAACACTCCTCTCCTCCCTCACAACATATACTTAAATAGACAAAATGTGGGGTTTTTTTCAGAACATTTTTTATACATATAAATAAAAACATGGAAAACAAAGGATCCATAAAGTGACTTTGCTAATGCAAATTATGGGGGTCATTTGGATTAACTTAAAAGAACTGATTATAAAGCTAATTTAAGACACTTAACATCTCCCACAACTCACTTTCCCCAATAAATGCATCTTTAAGGAAAAGTTTGAGCAACCTCACAGAAGCATTAAGATAGCAAAAAATGAAAATTATTCATACTCCAAATAATGTACTGAGGTTTTCAAGTCTCAGACTTTCAGTTTAAAATAATTTATGCTTCGAAAGTAAAATCACAGGAAAACATTAAGAACTTTAAACTATTCTACATAGTAATTTGGAGGTCATAAGGGTGTTTTTGTTTTTTTTAACGATGCAAGGCACTTTTCTGGGCTTCATTTAAGGAGAAGTAAAAAACAAAAAAGCTACATTGGTATATCATGCTCTATTTCAGTGGTTCTCAACCTGGGGATCGCTGACCCTTATCACAGGGATCACCCGATTCATAACAGTAGCAAAATGGCAGTTATGAAGAAGCAACAAAAATTATTTTATGGTTGAGGTGGGTCACCACAACATGAGGAACTGTATTAAAAGGTCATGGCATTAGGAAAGTTGAGAACCACTGTTTAGAACCATTTTGGACAAAGGAAAAAAAAACAGATTAGGTGACTGAAAAGAACAGGTGCATCATTTGGCTTTTACCAAAAGAAATGCAAACTAGAACATCATATGAAACTTAATACTACCCTTTGTTTTTGGACCATATGATACCATAAAGTAAAATATTTTCCTTTGTTCATTAAGCTTTCTGGTTTTTGCGTTTTAAAATTCATTAAACCTATTAGGACAAGTAATAAGAAAGCAATAATCAGATCATGTTAAAGAAACAAGAGTTAATTAATGTCATGATTTAAAACCATTAATAATGAATCCAGGAAGAAATTTTTAAATAAAGGGAAATTAAGGTATTGAGTGATTAAAAAAAAAGTTAACAGATTCCTGTATTTTAACGTTTCTGTAAGAAGCTCCATCATAAAATTAAGCTAAAATCATGTTTTAAAATGTAATATATAGAACATAAAAAGAATTTTAGCAAACTTTAGTAAATTCTTTTATAAATTACCCAATTTTTATAAACAAATCCCCTTAACTTGCATTTTGTTTAAAGTAAAAACTATATCATACAAATAAATTTCAAGTATGAAAAGTGCATTATTGCAATAATACCTCTTTGCAAGTCCAAAATTCTTGGTTTCTAATAGAATTTTAAGGTTAACAAAACAAAAAAGACTAAAACCATCAGTGCCAGCTATTGTAGAAGTCCAAAATCTTAAAATGTTGCTCAACGAGTTGAGAGAAACATGTTTGGAAGCAACATGTAATTGAAAAGAAACTACTTGTGTTTTTATCAATTCACATTATTGTCTTTAGTATTTTCTCCTCAAATAGAAATTCACATCCTCTATAATATTGCTCGAGTCAGCCGTTCTGTGCAGTTGCCACTTGCATGTTTCCAAAATCCTCTTCTTCTTCATGTGTTCTCTTCAAACTGCCTAAAAATTAGTACAGGAAAAAACATGAGAACTTAATAAATTCATTTGTTAGAATACCATAGCTCGCAAACATTTTTTCCCCATTAAGTGTTAGTTACTGTGTATACACTATGAAAGATGTTAAAACTCTAATAGCTTCTTTCTTTACAAATTATGGTTGCTGATAGGTACCGTCTAGTTGATTCTAACACACAGTAACCACCTGTAACAGCTGAAAACTACCCTATAGGAGTTTTCCAAAAAAATTAATAATAATGAAATTAAAAATAAATAAACAATTTTCCAAACTGTCAATTTTTATATGGGAGCACATTATTTTTCTGCTGGTGAAAATGCTGGGTAGGTTCAAATCTCTAATTTTTCAGTTAGTAGTTGTCTGCTTGACCTTTGTGCCACCAGGGACCCTCAACTATAATGTATAATATTAATTTTTAAAAGTTTGAAAACAAAAATTTTCAAAGACACAGTGTTTGATTACCAAGTTATACTTTGTATCCTATGAACACATAAGCCACAAAATAAAATATAAGCAAATAATTTTAAATTTATGATTATACTTTGAGAATTACTTTTGCTTTCATAGATCTGCTGTCAAAAATAGCCCAAAATATTTTTCCACGAAAGCTATGGCTTCATTACCAACAGATTAAGGGCTGGGAGAGAGGAAAGCAAGCAGTTCATAAGAGGTTTCTTTTATCTACTCTTGAAATCAGTAGCTGTTAGTACAGAAATTTCCCACATAGAATCAAAGCTATCTTATTTTTCTAATAGTTTTAGTCAGGAAATTTGAATCTCAATGGAGGAAAATGGGCAACTGGTAAAGAGTTTGCTGCTGATGGCCTAACTATGGCCTGGGCATACACTTTTGTCCTAAAGACTATGCTTAAAAACAGCCATAAGGTTAATTCAGAAAGCAGATGCAAACATGAAACTGATGTTTCACTCGAAGATTATTTAATAAAGATATGAAGACAGTATTAATAAATACACTAGAATAAGGTAGAAGAACATAAGCCATAAAGCTAGATAACAACTTCTGTAACTAAGTTTCAGATGAAGCGCTGTGCTCCCAAACAGAGACAAAAAGGGGGAAAAAAGGTAAGAGGCACAAAGTGGGGCAGTGGCTAGGCATTCATCTGCTGACCAAACGGTTGGGAATTTGAATACATCAGTCATTTTGCAGGAGAAAGATGTGGCAATCTGCTTCCATAAAGATTACACCTTTGGGAACTATGGAACAGTTAGTTTTACTTTGTCTTTGAGTTAGACTGAAGCAAATAGCCATGAGTTTGTTTTGTAGGTAAACAGTAATGAAGCACAAATAACACTATGGGCACCCGAATCACTCAGGGTCTCGGGAAAAAAGTTAGTCTTGAGAAAATGGTATCTAAACTAAGTTTGTAATACTAGGGAGACTAACGGTAATGCATTCTAAGTGGAGAAAAGATGACAAAGGACACCCTCAGTGTAGTCTTCTGGAGTGCACAGTGACAGTGAGCAATGAGAGGTACAGATATAAATCCTACAAGGTTAGACTATAAAGCAGGAGAAAAAGAAAAGAAAAGATTCTATGGTAACTTGTTCCTTAGTGATAAACACAGCAGTGCTACTATAGGTAATGTGCTATACTGGCACTGAGTGGTTGTCCTGCGAGTTAGATCACCTGTACTCAACCTTCCAGATCTAATACCAACCAGGCACGTATAACCTGCTCTCCTTACCTTATTAGGCTATTGATTCAAATGACTGTAAGAGAGAAAAACTATAAACAACTCCCATAAGGGCTCTAGTAGTTTAAAAGGGGGTAGGGGGAGAATAAATTTGGAAATAGATAATGGTGATTGCTTTAAACATGAATGCAATTAATATCACTGAACAGTACAGTTGAAAAGACAAAAGTTTTATAAGGAAGATGAAATTAAAGGGTATTTGCAAGAGTTATGCTAGTTAACTTAGATTGAACCAAGTAGAAAACTGGCACTCAATCATATTCGACTTGACTTGGCACAATAGTTTATGAGGGGGTCAGTAAAATGGCATTGCTAGAAAACCACAGTAATTTCTATTAAACAAAAGTATTGAACTATGAAGCTAGGTCTATACACCCTTCTGAAGTTGTTTCTCTAACTGTTCTCCCCCAAATTCTGCACTCTACCATTCACACCGCATCAAAATGGCACTTCTGGCACCCTCCAGAGACCCATATCATGGTTCTTTTAAATGTTCTTTTTGCGTTTGGAGACCAAAAGAAATTTGCAGGAGCAAAAGCAGGGCTGTAGGGTGGATGGGGTAAAGTTTCATGAGGAAGTTCTAGGCCAGCCCATGCTATTCTCAGAGCAGGGACACTGTTGTGACATGAAAGAAACAAACGTCCCCAGCCTAACTTTCCTGGTTTTTTCTCACCAATGCAGTTTTCAATTGTCTTCAAACTTCTTCCTAATAAACTCTTGTATCCTTTGAGAAAATCTATTAATATGACTCCTTTGGTATCTTCCCAAACAGTCATCAAACCCCATGAGTTAACTTATTTAACTGGTCCAGCAGATCTTCTAGAAACTACTGTTTGGATTGACTAAGGTATGTATTACTGAGAGTACTTGTTTGCAGTCACCCACAGATTACAGAGACATCTTTAAACCAATTTTGCTTATAATAAACTCATGCATGTATGAACTGGAAAGCCCCAGTAGCAATATTTTGGGTTCAGCCTCAGTATATATAAGGTCAAGATAATGTATACATTATAAAAACCAGTCCTTTAGAAAATTGTTGCTTTATTAGTTTACTCAACGTTTTCTAAATGACTACTTTATAATTTTTGAGATAAGCAAAAGTATAATCCTGATCATACCACATCTTTCTCCCCCAACTTTCTCCAAAGAAAAACTCCTTACCTGTGGCACCAGAATGAACTGATAATGATCTTTCTATCTGCAGTGGTGACATCATCTGTATTGTTAATTTTGCTAAGTAGATGGCTTCATATTCCTGAAAAAATATTTTCATTAACCTGAATGCACATTTAGATTCATGGATATTCAAAAACAGCGATAAATGTGGACATTAATAGCATTCATAGTTTACAATTAAAGAATCTGTTGCCAAATTACAGGCTTAAAAGTACTTTTTCCTAAGTCAGAATCCCGCCCAGGAGGAACGATACGGCAGCGCCGTGGAGCCTCGGTTGGCCTCGGATAGCCGGCGCCCC